ATTGGGGGGGGGGGGGTTCCTTCACTGCTGCCCATGTCACCCCTTCTGGTTTTCTCACTCTCATATGTTAGATGTGAGACTGTTGTTCTGCTTCAGAGCTGCAGGTATGGATGGAGAAAAGAATGAGACAGGAAAAGGGATGCATAATTTTTCACACTTTGAATGTGTCCCTCATAATCCTCCAGTTGTGATTGGACTCCTCCAATTAAAATATAATCATTAAATTTATTTAAAAATTTAATTATTTATTAATTAATTTAATTACAATGTAATTACTGTATTAAATTGACAAACTTAGTGGAATTTCCACTAAAGCAACTGAACTGTTGGCACTGGCTAGTGGGTTTCTCAGGCGTGGAGGAAAAGTACAGAGTGGGCAGTCTATATCTCAGACAGAAGAGTCAGAGCAACTTTACAGATTAGGTGGGATTTTATTGGCTCCTTTTGCCTAAACTTCCCTGGGGTAGTAGCTGCAGTACTGCCCCATGCCGCCTGAAGTGGTGGCACTCTAGCATAGCAAATATCAAACCACCACTTCTGTCTGCTTCCAAGTTGCCAGTCACTGTATGATAACATGGTCAGCTGCCTGGTCTGAAGCCCCAGCACCTCATTGCGTCCTGCCCTAAATAATGAGAATATTTTCTTTATAAGGTGGAACTGATATAGGAAAAAAATACAGTAACTTTGCTTTAGTTTTAACTAAAATCCAATTTAACTTTATTGGCATTGCCCTACTCTATATGGCTTTATTACGTATTATCTTTAGCAAGAAGGATCCAAAACTAGGCATGTAAAACTGGGCTGGCAGAAGCAGGCTTCTCTGTCTTCCACTTCCCACAACAGTCCCTTCTCAAGGCTATACAGAATGGCAGGGGACATAGCTGGACTGAGCTGTGGGGCAAAATGCGGTATGGGGACAAGAAGAGAATATCTGACAATTGAATTGAGCTCCATTGAGGGAAGTTCTTCTGGCCAGTTTTTGAAGATTCACTCTTCTACCCACACCACAACCTATCATATTCTACATGGTGTCCTGACTTCATATATATCTTTTTCAGGCACCTGGTTATATTGAGAACTGCAAGCAAGCCTCTTTCCATCAGCTCTGTAGCATGTGCCTCATTCGGAATCCAGCCCTCCATTTATAACAATACTCTGCTTAATGTATAAATTAAGGTATCTTATAATTTATAAATTATACAGTAAATGTTTAATTATCTCTGGCTGAAACATATAAGTGACTTTGGTGATGATGATGGTAATGATAGAAGGGGGGTATCATATTGTTCAGATAGTGTTATTAACATACTTGAAAGTGACTTCAGAATCGGATGAATTATATCTATTCTTTACATTCAACTGCTTTCTTTCATTCAAAGATGATGCCAAAGACCAACAATTTCTGAGATCACACATTAGGAATAGTCGTCAAGAAGGTGAGTATTGAAAGTAAAATTAATTTTAAAAAGAATGGTGAATTAAAGTCTAAAGAAGAGTTAGAGGCACAGAATATTTATATAGACTGGTGGTCCAGAGCACAGCTGGAATCTAGATACACAAAAGACAAAATAGAAGGTTTCTACACAGAACAATCGATATTTGATAAGCTCTTATTAGGTTCAAAAGACAAAATTGTTAAGAAAATGTATAACTATTTGTTAGAAATTAAAATACAAGATGAAATGGTTAAAGAATGCAGGACTAAGTGGGCACAAAATATAGGGCATAATATTGATATTGATCAATGGTTGAAAATATGGCAAAGTAATATAAAGCTTACAAAATTGGTTAATTTTAAGGAGAATATATACAAGATGTTTTATAGGTGGCATATGACCCCAGAAAAACTGTCGAAGATGTATACAGATGTATCAAATCTGTGTTGGAAACGTGAAGCACAAGTGGGAAGCTATTATCATATGTGGTGGTCATGTAGAGTAGCGAAACAGTATTGGAAAAGAGTACATGCTATGGTGCAACAAATATTGCTCTGTAAGATGTCATTAACCCCAGAATTGTTTTTATTGAGTATGATACCTGATAACATAGATAAGTCAAAGGAATATATAGTTATATATATAGTTACCGCAGCCAGAATTCTCTATGCCAAAAATTGGAAAAGTCCGACGGTACCGAAACAAGAAGATCTCATAGAGAAGATACGGGAAATAGAGGAAATGGACATTTTATCAAAAGTGATGGAGGACTGTCCTTTACAAAAGGCAGCAGAAAGATGGGACTTATTCTACAAGTGGATTGAATCAATAGGTAGCGCATGAATAGCATATATTGAAATAAGAACTTAAACCTGGAAGGCAGAAAAGAGTAAATAGAGTAACTTGGAATCTTGATATGGCAATAGGTATAGAATGGACGTTAGTATGTTATTGTTTCTCCTCTTGCCTATTAACCTCAATTCCCCTTTTCCTTTTTGTCACCCCCTTGTTAAAAATAAAAATTTCATATAAAAAAAGAAGGTGAGTATTGAAAGTAATTTCCAATAATATTTACCCTGTTCAATGGTTGCCACCACTCACCACCACCAAAACAGTTTTAATCAAAATTGTATTTAAGTGAAAAAACTGAAAATGTAGACCATAGTCTATGGATACAGACTTTCCCAAGGTAAAAATATTTTGTAGTTCTGGTCTGCATTACATTGCATGACTACAGACAGGAAATAAAGGTTGTCTTTTCAGCTGAAGGGTTTGCCACATTTCTGTTTTTATTATAAAGGTCTCACACTGTACATGAATATTGGACATAATAAAGAGCCTTGCAGACGAGTACATTAAAGCCACTGGATATTATCCAAACTATTTAATCTGATTAAATAAAGGAAGTGTTTCTAAGGTGATCAAAGAGCCTAACATTTAGGCTTCATGATCAACTGAAAATGAGACTCAGACTAAAAAGAAGTGCCCACAAGAGAATAATATAATAATATAGGTACTGTAAGAGATGAGAGCCAGTGTGATCCATGGAATAAATTTTGCTTCAGTTGTGGAGGCTGACATTCAAAGAGATGAGATGCATTGATGGACATCACAAGCTAAATTTAAGTACTGGTTGATTTCCCTTGGGGCTGTTAGGGATAGTAGGCAGGGTGATGAGAGGAAAAGCAAAGATGGAACAGTGTTTTAAATTCTGTGCAATCAACAGTTCATACCATAGGAATCAGAAATTGTGAATTTTAGGTCAGAGTGCAAAGCAGGGTTTGAGATCCGTATGTGTGTCTGGTATATGCCATGAAATTGCATCCAACATACAGTGACCCCAGTAGGGTTCCCAAGGTTAGCTAAATGCTTAAGGAATGGTTTTCCTTCAGCAACTCCTCCCCTCTACGAGTATCCATGACCAAACAGGGTCTTGAATCCAGGTTTCCTGAATTCTAGTCCATTGGTATAGGAAGGATTGCTCCATTTTGGTTTAGTTTCAGTGTGTGTGACACACAGTCATAGGTTCCTGAGGAGGTACCCTTGGAGAAGATATCTTACTGACTGTGGTGTTTCCAACAATCCTTGTTTGAGATACATTAACAATAATATGCTACAAGAAGTAATTTTCATCTTTCAAGGCAACCTGAATCATGGTTAGAATGAGATGCTGCTCCAGGGTTGAGATTATCCCAAGACGGCTTATTTTATGGTTCCTTGCATCTTTTCCTACCATGTAATTGTTGACCTTTTAAGCCAAGGATTTAGTCTGATCTTTTATCACATTCTCTCTTATCTCTGAACAAGTTGACAGGCTACTGAAAATTGTTATGCAAAAATGAATGATATCATTTTGTTTTGTGCAGAAAAGGTGTTTCCTGGGGGGGGGGTTTAAATTTGTAATTACACCACTACCTGAGTACCAGTATTTTATAACTAAGTTCCGGTACCCAGACCTCATGAGGTTCTGAAGAAAGAAATGTCTGCATTTAACTTGCAAGGGATCTGACAAACCAGGAAGCTTTCAATGTGTCTTGATACTGTCAAACAGCCCATACTGAGCTCTGCATTTACTTCTGCCTCATGGATGTGATCAACACTAGGATCAGGACCTGTCATTAGGCAGAGTGAAGTCACCTCAGGCAGAAGATTTTGGATGTGATGAAAGGGCAGCAAACGGTTGGTGCTTTCTTTTTGCTTTTTTTTTTTTGGCAGAGATGGGTAATGTACTTGTGATTTTTTTGTGTCTCAGATTTGCTGGTCTAGGGTGCAGTGCACTGTGACTACAATACACTTTAGGCAGCAAGAATTATTGGGTCCACCCTGCTTGTGGGGATTGGAGTACAAAAAGCTCACTTTGGAACCCCCCCTTGCCTGCAAAAACAGAGGTTTTTTTATTCATGCCTGTACACTAGGCTGAGCCTTACACTTCTAATATTAGAGAGAGAGAAAAACATATGCAGTAGAAAACATTCTGACATGTTGTTCCCAGAGCCCTCTTTGTTCCTCCTTTCCTTAAAGAAATAATAAATAAATGTAAGCTTATTTTTTTAGCAATAGTCGGTTGACCTTAAATTTCTGTCATCACAGTGGAAAAATAAGATCAGCAACTGCTGAAACATTAAAAAAAATATTCAGCCACTTCTCTATATATTTATATGCTTGTTTTTGTTGTAAGAGGGCAAAACAGACTTTGGAAAGTTTAGAAAGATTCCAGAGGGGTAACCAAGTTAGCATGGCTGTTGGCAGGAAAGAGAACAAAAAGTGTTTTAAGTGCTACAGACCATTGTTTGTTGCTCTTAAAGAGATAAAGAGAAATGAATCTTTCAGTAACACATTCCTTTTTCATCTGGCAAAGAACCTGATATCAAAACTTGGTTTGAAGATTCCCTCCCTCCCTGCCTCTTACATGACGTTGCATAAAATCATTGGGGAGCCAATGTGGACACCACAATTGGAGGCAGCCCTCAGGTTTTTAAATGTTGGTGCTGTCTCTTCTGCAGCTCTAGCTGATAGATTTGGCAGTGGGAAGGGACTTGGCATTGCCCAGGCCCAATAAATATTAATGGAGCAGTGGTGTTCCTCTGCCATTTGCTGACTCATGGACAGAAATTGATAGACAGCAGCTGCCAGAAACTTGTTTTCCAGACCATTTTTTTCTCAGCATGCTGCTTTTGAAAATTTACCTTTTAAGGATGAGTAGTAGAGATGTGTGTGCATGCATGTGTGTCTGTCTGTCTGTCTGCCTGTATGTAAAAACCCTGATACACAGGGGAGGAAGAGCATTTTTTTAAAAAAAGTTATCAAGAATGCAGTCTAAAGCAACCTAATTGCTTTGTAAGCTAGCTAACTATAAATATCCAGAGGCAAGTCTCTCGCAGTAATCTTTATATCTGTGTAGCATATTAGCAAAGATGGGCCTCTGCCACTTGAACCAGTTATTTAATTCGCCTATAAATTGAGGGGGAGGGGGAGGAATTGTGGTTGAATTATGGAGTCTCGCAGTTAAACTACCATCTCTGTTTTTCTCCTTGTTCAAGTGAATAGGGATTTTATATGTATCATTTATTTACTGAAGCCAACAAAGACAAAACTATTTTGTCACCACGATTAATGGCTGTTCTCTTATGTTAGTGAAACGGTCTTCATGTATATAATTTTTTCCTTCTTTGTTTTTATTTATTTATTTAATTTATATGCCGCCCACACTACCCAAAGGTCTCTGGGCGGCTTACAGCATCCAAAATACAACAAAGATATGCAACAATTAAAATACAATTAAAATATATATAAAATTGCCATCGGACCCACAGCTAATATTATTTCAGTTTTGACATTCTGGCCAATGCTACCAAGCTCATCAAAGGCCCTCAGGTTCTTTGAATATTTATTTATTTATTTGTATTTTAAATGGTCTGACCCAGTCTTTATCTTGACACATTGCAGAATAGCATGCAAGGATATAAAGATAACATACATGTGCGTAAAATACTACACAGTGGCAGAAATTCTGTTGCAACTAGAGTAGGCCCATTGAATCAAAGGAACTTGTGTGCTGTCAAGTAGAGTACAATATATCTTAGTGGATAGGAGCATCTGGCTGCAGAGCCAGGGTGCAAGAGTTTTAATGTCCATTTTGACTTCCAGGAGACAGGCCAGCTGTGATCACCCAGAGCATGTGTGGCTGATGAGTTTATGTGCTCTTACACCTGTGAGGCCTTGGGCAACCTGCATAGTCCCAGAGCACCCCCAAAAGGAGAGAGAGATCAAGCACCTCTGAGTACTTTATACCTAGGAAACCCTTGGAGGGTTGCCTTATGTTGGAACTGACCTGACAGCAGGTAATTATTGTTAATTATAAATAATATAAGCATAGGAGGCATACATTTGACCTTTGGAATGGATGTGTCCCTCTAACAAAACAAACACATGGAGGATGGGATAAAATAGCAGTTCCAAATCTATAGGATATTCCTATGAGAACGTTATTGAGATATGCCTCTGCAATGAGCTGTATAGTTTTCCTTGAGTAAAGACAGTGGATTCACTTATGAGTCAAGACATGAATTTTATGTCTGTCCTGCTCAAGTGTGAGATGCAGTCAGAGATGCAGTCAATTTTGTTTTTGAGCTTCTCAGACAATTACTCTGAAACACAGGTATATTGCACAAACCACTACCTCTTCTGCATAAAATGTAACATTCACATTTTCAAGGTAGGTAAGAAAAGTTTTCATTGAAGTAAGGTCCTGGTCACACAAGGGAATTATTCTCTAGTTCTTCCAATACATTCCATATGTCTGATGCACTGATTCATGGACAAATGGTATATACTGTATACTGGAGCGAACATCCCAATAACTTTTAGTGGTAACTATTTATTTCCTCCTATTTGAATCATTATGGTCAGCTTCACCATGGCACCGGTTTATTTCCTCTCTTGCTCTAGGGGGGCATTTCAGCTGCTTGATTTATATATACTGTATATTTTAAAAAATATTTATTGATATACTGTATTGGGAAGGGGTTTCTTTTTTGGGAAGATGTCCTCTGTTGTACTGGCTGCTCTGACAGAATCTCATCAGTCAGTCTACTTCCCCCAGCATCTCTTCTGCCTTTCAGCTTAATCTGTCATTTCCTTTCCCCCCACCACCAGCCCTCATGACTGTCTCCTCACAATGACTCTGTCTGTGTGTGTGCATGCACGTGCACACATGCACACACATGCACTGCAATAATAGTGGCTACCTTCCTGTCTTCGATGCTGAAAAGAAGTAGGGCAGGTTGTGCACAGAGACAATTCCAGTAAGGCATGCACTGATACAACAGAGGTACAAAATAATACAACCCTCCCAGGGAGTGGAAAATAAACTACAATTACACTGCTGGCTGGGAAAATGTTTCAGTCTTGACCCTGCGTCATGTGACTGGGGAAAAAGCAACAATGTAAAGGGGGATAACTAGAGAACATTTTCCCTTTTGTGACCAGCTCCTAAGATAGAAGGCTGTGCTCTTTTCAAACAGGATTAGATCTTATTAAAACTGGGTGGCATTCCAAGAAGCAAGAGATAGCAAAGTGAGTCAAATAGCTGTGGTTACCCTGGTCATTGCAGCTATTCTCTGGGTTACAACGACAACAACAACAACAACGCGAAGCTTCCATGAAGAGTTATTTTTAATCAAGTTAGGTTGTGGTATGAAAAAGCTATTCTGCAGGTTATATATGGAAAGGGAAAAGCTGAAGCAACAGTAAGAAACCAGAGTGGCCAAGGGCGAAGTAGAAACAATCACCATGATTTCTTGACAGCAGTAGTAAGACTTTCAGTGTGGGTGAATTCTGTTAAGAGGATTTACATCAACAAAATTTACAGCTATTCCTGACAGATTATGAAAAACATTTCAATCATTATTTTCCTACATGAATATACGTACCTCTGTGGCTTTTACTGTCTGATTCTCTTGTGGGAACCCTCAAGCAATGGTCTTTTTAGCTTAGAAGAAACATGGAGGAGAGTACATAACCTTGAATATATTATAGCTGCACAGTAATGTAGCTGTCTGTGCTGGCAGAGCAAATCAACATTCTACAAGGCAATTCTAAAAATGGGAGCAGCCCAAACAAAAAATTCTAATTGCTCTTTTGCTCAGCAGATAATCTGCTTTTACTCTGTGCCAAATTTGAGAAAGTTTGGGAAAAGGATTTTCAATTCATGATTTTTAAAAAGTAAAATTGCTTCTCCATGCAGAAACAAGCAAACCTAAATCTCCCTCAATTTAAGATAGCTCATATATATTGAAAAGACCAGGCTTGCTTCTTTTGAAAGATTATGGTTGGTCCCATCCACTTTCAAAATTTGGAAACAATACAGGCTACAGGGGCTGAAATACTGAACCTCAAAAAAGGCCTTTGAAAAAAGAAAAACAACCACTTAGTTATAAGATTAAAAGTGTGGAACAGACTTACCAGCTAGAATTTTAGAAAGTAGATACATTATTGCAGGTTTGAGGTCTAGATGGGAGACATTTGTAGGACAATGAGAGGATACATAAACAGTCAAAAGACAAGATTCTTTTGAAGAGTAAAACAAAAACAAAAACAAACAACTTCAGGCTTGCTTTAAAGAAAATACTGGAGTAACAGTCCTCCAGAAAGTGAGACATGTTGCCATGCATCTCCAGGAAATTAGCATACAATTTTGTAAGGCATATTCAAAGTATTTCTACCTTAGAAAAGCACAGCACAGTTGTGTTTGTCCTAGCCCTGAGTGCCTTCAACAAACCTTCTCTTAGAAGGGGGGGGGTGTCATCCAGGGATGTGGAGCTTCGTGCCATTAATATGCTGATGACATCCAGCGCTACATCTCCTTTTTTCCAACTGCAGTGGATGCTGTTCTGTCTCTTGGGCGCTGTCTGGAGGCTGTCTTACAATGGATACAGTCGAATGGACTGAGATTGAACCCAGAAAAGACAGAGGTCTTGTGGGTGGGAAGCCCCAATGTCAGTGGTTTGGTGAACTCCCTCTATTTTGGATGGGGTGACTCTCATCACAAAGAATTCAGTGTGTGGTCTGGGGGTCCATCTTGACCTGTTGCTTACCACGGAGACCCAGGTAGCATCCGTGGTTCAGTCCCCCCACTTACATCTTCAGCAGATCACCCAGGTGTGTCCCTATCTTTGAGACTTATGCGGACGCTTCAGATGGTCCAGATTATTATCTTTGAGACTGATGCGGACGCTTCAGATGGTCCAGATTACGATGGGCAAGTTATTAACAGGAGTGAAAAGATTTCACCATATCTCATCCACCCCGGCTGCCTTACACTGGTTACCTATCCACTTCTGCATCGATTTCAAGGTGCTAACAATTACATATAAAGCCCTTAATGGTTTAGGGCCTGGCAGAGCACCTTCTTCTGCCTAGGACTGATGCGGACGCTTCAGATGGTCCAGATTACGATGGGCAAGTTATTAACAGGAGTGAAAAGATTTCACCATATCTCATCCACCCCGGCTGCCTTACACTGGTTACCTATCCACTTCTGCATCGATTTCAAGGTGCTAACAATTACATATAAAGCCCTTAATGGTTTAGGGCCTGGCAGAGCACCTTCTTCTGCCTAGGTCAACCTGTATCACCCATCCGAGTCAGGCCAGATGGCTGAGGGGCCTAACGCCAAGAGAGGTCTAAAGGGAAAAAACTAAAAATCGGGCCTTCTCAGCAGTGACCCCTTACCTCTGGAACAGCTTACCTGCAGAGATCTGCCTGGCCCCATCACTGAGGGTCTTCAAAACCAATCTGATGACATGGCTATACTGGCAAGCCTTCCCTACAGCCATCACCTAACCTATTTCTTTTCTTTTTTTCCTCCCTCCTTTTTCCGTCTTGGACTATGTGATTAACTCAGATTTTACTTTTAGTTTATTTTTATGCTTTATGTAAACCGCCCAGAGTAGACACATTCTAGATGTATGGCATACAACTTAAACAAACAAACAAACAAATTAAAAAAAAAACTCATTCTTGGCCAGATAGGCATTTGTGCTGGCAAAGAAATTCTGTGTTCAGTTGTGACAATATTTAAAAATATATAAATATAAAAAATAATATAAAAAAATAAAAGAATAGTGAACAAATATTCAGAAGATCACTCATTTAAGCTATGAAATTACTATTTTTTTGCTTTGCGGCTGGGAATAGTCTTACTCAATATTAGCCTATATCCTGTCATTGTTTCAACTATTCCATCCATTTCCTCCAGTAGTAGTAGTAGTAGTAGTAGTAGTAGTAGTAGTAGTAGTAGTAGTAGTAGTAGTAGTAGACCAGATAGGCGGGATAATAATAATAATAATAATAATAATAATAATAATAATAATAATAATAATAATAATAATAATAATAATAATAATAATAATAATAATAATAATAATAATAATAAAAACTTCAAAGATGTTAGGTGCCATCAAGTGGTTTCTGATGTGTGGTGACTATATGAATTAATGTCCTCCATAATGTCCTGTTATTAACAGCTCTGCTTAGATATTGAAAACCAACCTCATTTCATGTTAGGCTGTTCTCTTTTCCTTCTGCCTCCATCCTTCCTAGCAATATTGTCTTTTCCAGTATATTGTGCTCATGTTTTATAAACTACCAATTACAGCTTCTTTTATTGAGACAGTGTGTCACATGTTAGTCCTTCCTCTCTTCCTGCTTTCTTCCTTTCTGGCTATGTGTGGTATCTACAAGGCTGTCCTCCCACACCACATTTCAAATGAGTTGATTTCTGTCCCTTTCTTTCTTTCTTTCTTGCTTTCTTTCTTTCTTTCTTGCTTTCTTTCTTTCTTTCTTGCTTTCTTTCTTTCTTTCTTGCTTTCTTTCTTTCTTTCTTGCTTTCTTTCTTTCTTTCTTGCTTTCTTTCTTTCTTTCTTGCTTTCTTTCTTTCTTTCTTGCTTTCTTTCTTTCTTTCTTTCAGTATAGATCACATGTGTCAAACTCAAGGTCCGCTGGGCCATTTCATGTGGCCCTTGCAGTGTTGCCTGCTATTGTGCAGTATACAACATGCAGGCACTTACTCAGTCACCCATAACGCTCCTCAAGGATGCTGGGAATCCACCCAGCAGGACTTCTAATCTCAGCATTCTGAGCAGTGAAGAGTCATAAAGTGCAGCCACTTGAGCACCTTGGGAAATGTAGTCCTCACTATTGCTCACTCCCGTTCTTATAGCTCAGTGGTTCTTAACATGGGCAATAATGCCCCCCAGGGGGCGATTTCATTTTTCAGTGGGGGCGAAAGAACAGAAGGGGGTGGTAAGGGGGCGCTGGAGTGAGACAAACCTG